GTTATTTCATTGGAATTTGACTTTCAAATATGATCTGTAGGGGATAATGGAACGTGTCTGTGCGCTCCCTTCAAACATTGTCCTTCAACTTGTTGAGTTAGCTCTTCAGCTTCTTGAGTGCTCCAATGATCAATCAAAAAAGAATGCAGCATTGTTTTTTGCTGCTACTTTTGTCTTCAGAGCAATTCTTGATGCTTTTGATGCTCATGATGGTTTACGAAAGATGCTCAATCTTTTGCAAGATGCTGCCTCAGTAAGGTCTGGTACATCTGGGACAATCAGTGCTTCGGGATCATTACGCAGTGAGCGTTCGCCTCCAGAGGTACTGACTTCTTCAGAAAAGCAGATAGCTTATCATACATGTGTGGCATTGCGGCAATACTTCAGAGCACATCTTCTCTTGATTGTGGATTCAATCCGCCCCAGTAAAAATGTCCGTGGTGCAGCTCGAAATATTCCAAGTGTTAGATCTGCCTATAAGCCACTTGACATAAGCAATGAGGCTATGGATGCTATATTTCGTCAAGTACAGAAAGATCGGAAACTTGGTTCTGCACTTGTGAAGGCTCGGTGGAATGTGGTGGATAAGTTTTTAAGCTCAAATGGGCATATTACTATGTTGGAATTTTGTCAGGTATGCCCTTGCACTTTGAAATGGGTTCTTTGCTTGTGTTGTGTCTAACTTTTTTCGATAATCTTGAAGGCAGCTCCACCTGTTGAGCGCTACTTGCGCGATTTGCTTCAATATGCTCTCGGTGTGCTTCACATTGTTACTCTAGTGCCGAACAGCCGCAAACTTATTGTAAATGCAACACTAAGCAATGGCCGTCTTGGTGTGGCAGTCATTTTGGATGCTGCAAATGGTGCTGGTTATGGTGAACCAGAGGTAGGAGCTAGTAATTGATATTTTTCATTGCTGGAAATCTGTTTCTCTACTTCATATTGATTTTTTACTCGTATGTACGGACTAATTATTTAGTTTTAACATTGGTAGATTATTGAAGCGGCACTGAATGTGTTAATCAATCTTGTGTGTCCTCCTCCCTCAATTAGCAATAAACCATCTGTTTCTTCCCAAGGCCAGCAGAATGCTCCCATCCTTCATTTGAATGGTTCTAATATGGAGAGTCGTGACAGAACTGCAGAGCAAGTTCAGTCTTCAAATACTTCAGGATTGGTTGGGATTTCAACAGTTGGCACAACTACCAGCAGTGTGACACAAGGCCCTCATTCTGCAGTACCTTCAGGGTTAGTTGGGGACCGTAGAATTTCACTTGGTGCTGGGGCTGGTTGTGCTGGCCTTGCTGCACAACTAGAACAATGCTACTATCAAGCAAGAGAGGCTGTTCGTGCCAACAATGGCATTAAGGTTCTCCTTCAGCTCCTCCAACCACGAATAGTTACACCTCCGGCTTCCCTTGACTGTTTGCGTGCTCTCGCATGTCGAGTCCTCCTCGGATTGGCCAGAGACGACACAATTGCACACATATTAACAAAGCTGCAGGTGGGTTTTGCCTATAAATCTTGTTATATCTATGGTAGCTTGAGTGCTTTCAACAACACCACTGTTCCCATGACACAATGATTAAATTCTTTCATGGTAAAAAGTACTTATATGTTCAAAAATCTCAGCTCTGTTGTGGAACAAGTTTTGATGTTAGTTAAACTACTTCATATTTGATGCTTGCTCATTCAAATGATCTTTGAAGGCCTTTAGTTTCATTTATTTTGAATACCAACACTATGCTTGGTTCAAGGAATTAGGAAGAAAAAGAAATGAAAATGGGTTTCTCTCATTTTTGTTTCTTTTCCCTTTCAAATTTCTAGAACCAAACATAGTACAAAGGTTACAACCGGCATCATTTATGCATTTGGTGTGTCCTCGTAATTGCTGTTTTGTCACGGTCTTTTTTTATTCATCACTTTGCAATTATTATTCAGATTAAATCTAGAACTACCAGTGTGCCATGTGCCCATAGTGTACTATTGATTGTATGCTTTTGATTTTTTGCATTTAATTGTATTAATTGAACTGAATGTTTACATGTTAAGTGCCTTTTGTACCACGGTTGCACTTAATTTGCATGGTGTGCCCACGTTTAGATGATAGTATAAAATTCACAGGGATATCTTTTTTCATAGTGCAGTGTTCACCAATTTTGTGTAACTGCTGTTTTAGGTAGGGAAAAAACTATCAGAGCTCATACGAGACTTTGGTAATCAGAATTCTGGAACGGAGCAGAGTAAGTGGCAAGCTGAGCTTGCACAGGTGGCTATTGAGCTCATAGGGGTAAGCTTTGTTTTTTTTTTTAAATGTTGGGAGTAAGGGATGATCTGAGTCATCTGATTGTCAACTGACATACGATATATTATTTGCACTTTAACCCCTTTTGTTATGGCAGCTGGATGCACTTTTGTTGCATTTCTGTTTTATATTTGTAAAAGTATATCTGCAGACTACAAGTTTATCGTTTTTTCGCTTTCAATTTTGAAGAACTTTACAGTTAAATAAGGGTGCAACCAAACTTGAAGAATGGCAACAACCAACTTATGTTACAACTTACAAATTCTTTTAATTGTGTTTTGTAGGTTGTAACTAGTTGTGGACGTGCCAGTACCCTAGCTGCTTCGGATGCTGCGACCCCAACATTGAGGCGCATAGAGAGAGCTGCCATAGCTGCTGCTACCCCAATTTCATACCACGCTAGGTGATGTATTATTTCATAGTACAACAGTGTATTCTCTTTCCCTATTACACTTGCCTGTATTACCAATGGTGATTGTTTTCCCTCAAATAAATAAATTCAGGGAGCTTTTACTTCTTGTCCATGAACATTTGCAAGCATCTGGGTTGACAGAAACAGCATCCACTCTTCTAAAGGAGGCTCACTTAACACCTTTGCCATCTTTATCAGCACCATCCTCTCTCACATATCAAGTCTCTGGTCAGGAAATTTCCTCTGCACAACAAACTCAATGGCCTTCTGGGCGTGCACCTGGTGGGTTCATGTTATTTGATAATAATAATAATAATAAGCCAAAAGCGGCTGCTGGTGCATTGCAGGATGAGGAGGTTGGAATGAAATGTGATGCATCAGTGTCTTACAAAAAGAAACCTTTGGTGTTTTCATCTGGAGGGCGTAGTAGTCTGCATTCAAAATATAATAATCCCTCTGAGATCTCACCAGTTTTCAAAAGCAACATTACTAGGAAACCTTATACTACACCTATTGCCTCACCCTTCTCGGAAGGTCAAATGGCATCTGTAGCTGGTGATACAGACATCCAGTCTAATAAGACACCAACAATTGTATTGCCGGTTAAACGCAGATCAACAGACATTAGGGATAGTGGGGCACCACCTGCAAAACGCCTTAACACTGGTGACACTCCATTTAAATCTCCAACAACCTTTGGAACTCCGTATTCTGCCCGTAGAAGTTGTATTCCTCCGGATGCAAGTCTGTTTGTCACACCACCACCACCACAGCCAAGTTTTTCATGTATCAAGGAGCAGCAGCATGGCCGGTCTATCGGAAGTGTGTTACCATCTGGCGAGGGGGATAATAACTTTTCAAATGACTTGCAAGCCTCATCATCAAACACAGAGCGGTTGACATTAGATTCTTTGGTGGTTCAGTATCTGAAGCACCAACATCGCCAATGCCCAGCTCCAATCACAACCCTACCTCCATTGTCCCTTTTGCAACCACATGTCTGTCCAGAACCCAGACACAGTTTTGACGCTCCAACTAATGTGACATCTAGGCTCACTTCACGGGAATTTAGGAGTGCGTGTAGTG